TAGGAACAGAACAATGTGTAGCAGAAATAAAATACATAAAGTTTCAGTGCCACGAGACTAGAATCTCCAACTTGTTGATTTCTTTCAAGGTTCAAGTGTCATTCAAGCTCCATATCGGTGGAGATATCTAACATTTCCACCAACAGGCAACATCATGCTAGTTTTTTCTCATTTTGAATGTGTATACTGTAGCAAAAGGATAGCTAAGATATATTAACCTTTTAGCTAAAACTGCTTTGGCTACCACAGAGAGGTGAACAAAATAGGAAGACAGCCTTTAGGAACTCTAAAGCTACTGGAGAGTGTCCAGAGGAGGGACACAAAATTGGTGAAGGATTTAAAAGAGAAGTTGTATGAGGGGAGGCTGAAGTCGCTTGGTTTGTTCAGCCTGGAGAAGAGGAGACTGAGAGGAGATCTCATGGCCATCTAGAACTTCCTCCAAAGGGGAAGAGGAGGGGCAGGTGCTGATCTCTTCTCTCTGGCCACCAGTGATAGGAGTAGAGGAAATGGCAGGAAGATGTGCCAGGGGAGGGTGAGGTTGGCCATGAGGAAAAGGTTCTTCATTCAGAAGGTGGTGGGGCATTGAAACATGGTCCCCAGGGAGTTGGTCACGGCACCAAGCCTGACCATATTCCAGAAGCATTTGGCCAACATGTGCCCTCAGACACATGGTCTAAATGTTGGGTTTGTCCTGTGCAGGGACAGGAGTTGGACTGGATGATCCTTGTGTGTCCCTTCCAACTCACAACATTCTATGAACCCCTCAGCACTGCAATACCTTCCCATTTCTTAGTGATTTCAACATGAATTCAACATGGTTAAAATATATTAAGAAAACAAGACAGAACGAACTCAGCCCCCCCAAAAAGGTATCTTTCTGTTCAGACATACAGAAATATTACATTGAGACATAAAAATGGGCTTGAGGAGAAAATGTCTTTCCATTAATGTAAGTTCCCAGGCATTACTGGATACTCTGAGATTAAGCAACTACTAGTCCCTGGGACAGACTCTGGAGAAGGCTAACTAAAATTTAAAAAAGGAACACACTTCCCCCAAAACCTAGAGAAATCTGACCTGGCAAAGGAGATGCAGCAACTGAAATTGTTCACCCCATAGAAAAGTTACCCAAAGATGGAAAGTTGAACATTGACGAACATCAGTTTGGACAGTAAGAGGAAAGCTGGCAGAGTGTCTTCTGAATTAAGTCAATAAGCACAGGCCAAGAAGCAATGGACTAAAAACAACCGACAGGCAACACATGGTCTTCTACCTGCCTTGTTTTTTTTCCTTTCTCACAACCTCATCGTTGCTATTGTGACACCTCCAAAATTTTTACTGGTTAGGAAAGCATGACTATGTTCCAGCTGTAATCCTAAGAAATGGTGAGGGGAAAACAGTGCGTAAATTTCTTTGGACAAAAACTTTCTCTGATAGTTTTTAAACCTCTTATCTTCAGTGTTTGTAGTGGAATACATTAAAAAGTTATGGTTGTTGATTTTATTGTTTTCTTCAAAGAACTGTTGGTGGAAAGCCAAAATTCCATAGGTGAATCTGTGTTATGTTCAGGGATTTCCATTTACTCTAAAGCAGATGGTTCTATTCTGCCAGCAACCCTCTGGCATCTCAGTAAATTGTATTCTTTGCATATTCCTTGTGCACATGAAATTTGCTTAATGGGGAAAAGACTTTTCTAAGTTTCACAGCAAGAATTTACACATGCACCTTCCTTCTGTTCACACACATTTGACTTCTTTGCTCAGGGAAGAGGAATGGTATAGCAAATAACAGTGTAATGAACAGAAAATAATCAAATATGTATCAAGAAATGTAGTTTTGAAAGAGGCTTATTCTAAACTTCTTTTCACTTACAGCAACAAAATTCCTGTTGACTTAGTGGTGGATCAGAACCATATAGCAACTGAACAATTTAACACAAATACATTTGGAAAAAAAAAAAAATCTTATTTATAAGTAACTGACAACTGAAGAATAGGTAATTTCACTGAATAAGTTATTCAGTGAGAATAATTTCCATATCATTAATCACTCCATTTTACCAATGCCTTGAATTTTTAAAGAAACTCTTGTTTTCTCATTTTAAATACTTAACAGCTCCTCTATGATTCCTATCACTGTTTTCTCTTTCCACAAGCAAGGGTTTTATTGTTTTCTCCAGTCACCCTGAAGTCTCATACTTACCACCCTGAACCAGACCTGAAAGTCTTTTAGAAGAAAATCAGTTACATATATATGTGGATCACAGGAAATATAGTGGGATTACTCCCTTGATCAACATTTAGCATGAATTTCAATACTCTGTTAGATCAGAACTTTTCTGAATTCATACATTATTCAAAAAGTCTTCAGGGTGCCTTTTGAGTTACCTCGCTGGGGTAGGTTGTGATGAAAAGGTTTAGAAGTTTATTGATGAGAGAAGAAAAAGAAGACAGGAGAAGACCCAGCTCACAGGAGCTGGGGACACCTATGTTTGAGTGCACTGGAATTTCAGGGACAGCAGACATGACAACAGGAGTAATACGACAGGTTAGAAAACAGCATGAAAACATGTCCCCTGGTTGTCCAGGTTGACTATGCCACGGTGAGGTTTAAGAGAGGGGGAAGTTGATGAATATGGTCTGATTTTGCCCAAGGGGCAGGAATTACCACAACGGTGTTGAAGTATGGGCTTTTATGAGTATATCTGTAAGTGCTAGCCACAAAACAGAACACACATTCTATGATTATCTTTCAAATAACCACAAAAAACAGGAATGAGAAGTCAGCGAGGTTCAATCACGTTACCACACAGCTAAAGATGCTCTCTAGAAACACAGCACTCACCCAACTCTTACCTTCATTCACACATGCAGTGGGTAGCAGGCTATATGGGAAGCAACAGAAGCTTGCAGCTGTGATTCAGGGCTCTTAAAGAGTTATCTTGACTAAGTTACTTCAACAATGGGGGCAGTGACATTTGCTTAGAGGACAGGGAGGGAAGGGTATAGAAGATGACAAACAGCAACACAAAGTGAATTCTTTTCTGTTCCTTTCAGCTGCTTTATGGAAAGTGTGATTGTGTCCGTAGACAAGGAGCTGCACCTGATGCTCCAGCAAGTCCCTATTTGATCCCATGCTTCTACTTATCAGTAAAGATTATAGAGGAAACCTTTTCATCTGGTAAGGTCATTGCTTGCAAAATTTATTTGGCAGCAGAATTACACCTTTCAGCTAGCAATTAGACACCCATGGCTAAACTAAAGAGCAAAGGTTGGCTGGCTTAATCCCTACCCTCCAGCTTTGCAACATGGTGAATAAATGACGTAAGAACTGCACAAGCTTATGTTTATTTATAATACCACATACCCAGCAACTATAACCTGGAGCACTCCAGAGTGGAAGGATACATTTTTATAATGCTTGTTTCTTCATTAAGATTTCATCATCCACCTACGCTAAAAAGCCACTTCCCCTTCACTTTGTTATATCTGCTTTTACCCGCTCTTGTTCCTGCATTATTTTTTTAATCTCCAGTTCCCTACTTTACATGCACTCTCAAATTTTAAACAAGCAAAATTTGTGCATTAGTGTGTCCTTTTCATCTATGATTTATGAATGACAGGTTCTTCGGTGCAGCTTAATGGTATGAGAGAGACATTATTTTAAACATTAAAGTGAAAACCATTTACAACTATGATAAGAGAGGTCTGTTGACATTAAACTTTAAAACATGCACAAGGTAAAGGCAAGTAGCAGCTACAACAGGTGAGAGTACTGTGTGTGTGGTTTGTAAAGGAGTTTGTTCAACATGAGCTGCTTCTTCTCTGTTTCACTACCTGCAGGATGTGGTGCTTCAAACAATTTATCTGGTAATCAGCAGCCACCAGAGTTTAATAACTAAAAAGTACTTAGGGTGGAGTGCAGAGCACTCATCTAAAAAAATTACCATTCCGTTTGAGGAAAACTTTTCCTACTATTTACATAAACAAGAAATAACAAATAAATAAATACACTGAAAGAGCTAAAGCTTTATTTTGATACTTCCTGCTCACACCTTTATCATTTTCACACTGGACAATCACTTTCTTACCATCATCTTCCATTAAAATTGTACAATTCTATTGTAAGATATTGGCTAATACTTATCCTGCTATACCTGGTTCAGTTCTCTTCAGTAGCAACTGCTTCCTGGGAAGCAATCAGCATAATTAGGAGTGGTAAATCAATATATCTGTATTTTATATCATATGATTGAGTACTGTTTCTAACAGCATTAGACACATTGAACAGCAGAGAACACAAGGGAAGAACAGGGGGATCCTGCACAGTGGCTTTTCCGTCTGATTTTAGACCATATGGAGAATGCAGCAGGTATCTTAGGTTAGAACTGTTGCAAACATGGCAGAGCTCGGAGAACAGGGAGGATACAAACTTTCTGCTTGGGACTTTGAAGTCATGTAACTCCCTCAACAACTTGGATGAGGCTTGCAGAACCTTATAGATAAAGCAGACTTCCCACAGCAAGAATGAGAACTCGTATCTGAGGCACTGATGGCAGCTAAGAAAACTCTGATTTTATAATAAAAGAGTTTTTTTAAAGTGATTTTCATGCAATATTGTGTTTTTAGTTGCCCCTATTAATTCAGCTACCCTAACCAGCAGTAGTGACACAGAATACTTGTCTTCATGCTGCCATTTGAAATTTTAAAGCAAGCTGTGAGTAGAGGACATTGATCGCTGATGACAGAAAAGCCTAATGAATCATTCAAGTACTTTACTGACCCATAGAATCTAAGACCCAACCTCCAATCTGCTTCTATAAAAATGCAAATATCCCTTAAATATCTCTTGAGTATTCAAAAACAATTTAAGTATTAACTTTCAATATGCATCAAGAGCAACATTTCATTGGAAAAAGGGATCACACTGTTTAAAAGGCAGAGATAAAGTGAAACAAACAGGCAAAAGAACCACCCAGAAAAATGCTAAACATGACTTACCTTGTAGATTTTGCAATGGCAAAGTCATGATGCCTCCTGCTGCAGCTGCTGCTACCAGCCCTTGGATGTTGGTGAGATTCGCTGTAGGTAGAGTTAGGACAAGTCCTTGTTGGCCCCCCAGCTGCCCAGCCATGTTGAAAGGAATAAGGATCGGCTGGTTCAGGGCTGGAGTGCCTCCTGGCATCACCCCTGCTACTGCTGAGGCTAACTGTTGGGCTGTCAGTAATGGCTGCAAGAAAACACAGACAGCAAGACTATTTTAGTGTGCATAGCTCACTATTACACACTTACAACTCTTCTGGCTTGGGATCCTTTCATGTTCCCTTATAGACATGCACCGCTTCCAACATCTTCAAGCATCAACATCAACATTTTCACCAACACAAAAAGTTCTGACAAACTTGACAGTCACACAGCATGGTAGCTATCCCAGTTGAATCTAGACTGGAAAACTCATTACGCATGCACTGAAGATCATGTATGAACACAAGGAGGCCTAACTCAAGTCACTCTACAAGCACCTAAATGCCAACATTTCCCAAATTTGCATACTGATTGGTAAAAGCTGAAACCACCACAGTAACAATTACCAGAAGCTACGTGGACGAAGACTGTCCGAAGAAGTGTAAGAGCACTGACCATCTTCTTAGAGTATGGCTGAACTTGGATAAAAATGGGAAGTGATATGGGAAATCTTAAAATGTTATACAGTGCCATACTATTATGCCTACATTTTGCTCTAAAGAAAATAAATACCTGGCATAAAAGATAATGAAATGCCTTTTCTAATGCAGGAGCTGTGTGTGACAGGCAAAACTGTCAGAACCAATAAGGTTGCATTAAAATTGCACAAGCTTCTTCATATTAAATTATGACATGTATTTAAAAAAATAACTTACATAAGAAATCCACATAACCTCCTAAATATGCAAAACTTCTTAGGTTTTATTTTAGAAAAACATACGAAATGCTCAATTTTTTAAACAAATAACTTTCTAAAACATACACAATACATACACGCTCCCTTTCTGTAGCACTAAATGCAGCCAAACAGAATCACATTTTCTACATTACACAGATCAAAGATGATCAATCACCGTTATTTACTTTTCATCAAATTGCACATCTCCATTAGTCAAAAGGAAAGATACTGACCTGAGGCCCAACAGGGAACGTGGGATGGGACTGACTGGGTTGGTGCTGGTCTGCTGGGCTCGTGTCAGGCAGCACTGTGTTTCCTCTGGCCTCTGAAATCCAAAGAGCAGACTGACTTTAATATCAAGCCTGGGGACTGCCACATTACCTTCTACTCTGATGTCACATAACATCAAGCAGAGAATGATATGTTAAAGTGCTTTATCAATAACTCAAGCACTCAAATCACTTATCAGCTGCATAAATTATGCTAACATTCATTCAGACCAGCCAACTCATTCAAGGAGCTACAAAAATCTGACAGCAGTGAAACAGAAGCTATCATCAACCCAGCTAATGTGGGCTGCATTATACAGCAATTTACATACAGCACATGAGCGCTCTGCACGTGTGGGAACTGCGGTTTTTTACGCTTAGGTGAGCATCAGCCATTCTAATTTCTGAAAGCAAAAAATTATCTGAAAAACAATCAAGTCTCCTCTACTTTGTATCTCAATAAAGTATTTTCTTTTGTCAGTTACTGAGGCAGCAAAGGCTGTACGATGCGCAATAAAAAGGCACCGTGAAAACTGAAAACAGGTAGGCTTCCAAATGACAGCTTGTTTTCTAAATTGCGTGTTGGGGGTGAGCAAAATTCAGTGAAACCAAGGATTTCCAGCATTTAGTGAGATGATCAATATCCAACAATCGAACTATATGCTGGGCACTAATGACTTGCTAAGCACAAGACTCAGTCCGGCCCTACTAGATTTCGCTGAAGTCTGCAATACAGATTTCAAAAGGAAAAAAGAAAAAGAGAAAGAAAAATGTCCTATCAGTTGTAAGAAAGTACCAAGATGTTTTCAATACTATGTCCCAGTCCTCCATTTCCTCCAGGTGAAGGACTTGCATTGATTCACAAAGTTTTCCAGTGTTGATGGCACTATCAGGCCCACATTTATCTTTGAAGCTGAAAGAATGACAGCAAATATCAAAAGTAGCTGCGAGAGTACTGCGGTCGGTCTCTTAAAAAGAAAACCCTGGCACTGGTGTCAGGTTGTCTGGTTGGTACGATGGCTCCTGTTCTGGTAGTTTTTTCTGATGAGCAGTTGAAATTCTGTTCTAAGTAAACCTTAACGAGATGCTCTTTTCCAATGTTTGTCCTATGAATAGCAAGTGCAAGATAATTCAGAACCGGTTTATTGGCATAATCTGGTGTGGTAAGGAAAAAGGATATGATTCTGTCGTACTTATAAATTTTAAAGAGGGTATTATCAGCTCATTTAAAACAAATTCTTCTATATATCCTCCAAGGGGACAGACTTATAAATAATGGAAATGTAAAAAAAAAAATAAAAATACTTCAGCACATTAAAGTACAAATAAAATTGACTGCTACATATTATTCAATTGACTTCTATCTCTACAGCAAGGTGTCAATCATAACAGCATTTAAGAATAGGATTAAACAATAAATGTGCAGAGTTGTTATGCAGAAATCTCAAAATCTGATTAATTCGTAATATTTTTGTGTGTTCTCAAAAAGTCAGAAATGGACGTTGCTTTGGGAATACTTACAAAGGGTCTATTGAAATATCTGATTTGGAACCAATAAAAACATACAGACTTGCTGACATTTTATAAAGTGAATCCTATAAAAATATGTTTGGCATTTTAATGACCACTGTCATCTAATAACGAGAATACGCTGACCTATACTATAGGTATACAGTCCTCACCAATACTATAATTGGTGAGGACTGCAACAATTGCCTAATAACATGCAAAAAGAGATCCAGTCACTAAATTTTTTATGTGCAATTTACTTGTCTGAGTTACTTGAAAAGAAAGAAATGTAACTAGATACGCGAGATTCAGTGAAAACTGCTTCTTTCAGACACACTACAACCCTAGTGCTGCTGCCATCCCCGAGATCAAAGACAAGTTTTCTTCAGTATGGGTTCCTCCGATACAAAATAAAGTGCCACGTTACTTAAACACAATTTTACCTTTGGTAATTTCCACATATTGTTATCGGGGTCTTTTTTTTAATCTTCTCATCACAGCTGTATGTATCAAGTGATATTAGATCAAAGGCTCAATACCAATGAACATATCACTCCCCATTAAGATCAAAACTTAAGTCAATTTTGTTTATGTAATTTTAAGGGCTGAGAATTTTGTCTTTGTGTGTGATTTAATTAATATTAAAACAGGCTCCTGATAATCCATCATGTCATTAAATTGCCTATGAAAGCTTTGGGAAAAGAACAAAATTGGAGTCAAACATTCACTAGAATTAGATTTTATTGCAATTACTATAGCTTGAGCTCTCAGAAAATAAATAAGTTCTGAAGAAATATGCCTGTGCTTTAGTATTTTTTTCCATGATGCAGCTATCATCCTAAGAACTCCAAGAACCACTGTTTTCTGTTATCTACACCCTGAGGATTTTACAATATTTCATCTCACAAGCCGTGTGTAGTACAAGTGGGTTATACAGCACCATAAAGCCAAAGTTAATTCCGCTCCTTTCCTTTTGCATTGCTCTAATTAGAATCACTTAGGATTACATTCTTTTCATACAGTCACTCATCACAGATGACATATCTGTTTATTTCAGTGCTCGAATGACTCCCTCCTGCTTCTCACTCACTTTCCATACGATGTGGGCTTCTCAGCAAACAGCACACACTTTCACGTGGAGGAATGCTGGCTCACCTGGCACCCTATATAAAATCACACATGCCATATTCTCAGACCAGAATTCTCACATTTCCTCTCACACTCCTCCTAATCTACTTGCTATAACATCCAGTCAAGAATTTTTATTTTTTTTTTTTAAAAACACACAGGAAAATCTGCCTGCTGGGCTGGCAGTAAATCCAGCAAAGCAAGGAATTCAGGGTTACATTCTGTTGCATCACACACACACAGAGCGACAACATTTGTTCCTTGTTGCACGCTATCTTCAGTGAGACACACAGACCAAAGCTCCCAGGAAGGTGAAGCAGAGCACAAAACACTAGTAGAGGATCTGGAGAGTCAAGAGAACTCCAACACAGACACTATTTCCAATTCCTAGACTCATGGCTACCCATTTGGAAGACACCTTCATTAAGACCATTGCCCTGAACTGGCAGTACACAATCCCTCACGTTGTTTTTCCCCCTCTGTTTTACCACCTTTTTTTGGGAGTTTATTTATTCCAGAAGCCAGAATGACCTCTGCAGGCAAATTATTTCCCTGTCCAAATTCCAGACTTCTCTAATAAAAATGGACTGTCCAAATCTAGCCTAGATTTTCCACTTGTCCAGACCCACCTGGCCATTACCTCCTGCCAGGTTATCCTCCGACGCTGCTCAGCTTTCTATCAGCGAGTGGTTTGGTGGCAAGGAACCAGGACTCATAGAAGTCCCTATGGAGTTGGGGAGTTACCAGCAACACCTTCTCTCTTCTCAACTACACTATAGAGAGGTTGTACTCTCATTACACCTCCAATTGCTGGGGCACAAGGAGCAGGGAGAAGGCAGTAACAGGGCACCTACTCTGGAAAGAGAAGAAATTCTCCTTCACACCATTTGCCCAGGCAAATTATCAGGAGCCTGTTTTAATATTAATTAAAATCACACACAAATTCCAGGTCTGGAATTTGCCTTAAGTCTTAGCCTTGCTAAGATTTCTCTTCTAACTAAGCACTGCCATCACAGCCTAAGCCAATGAGTTTGCTCAGTAGTACCATATCAACAGACAGGACTGGTATGGCCATGACTGTAGACAAGGCTTTAATATTTAACGAGCAGTATTCATCATATGTGATTCATCATAAATTAATTATAAATTATATAATACATACACTCACCTCTCATCCCACCAAGGGGCTGAAAGGGCATGACACAATAAAAAATTGAAGTGTACTATAATCATTGTAAAATAACCCTCTTAAAACAAAATATTATTTAAAATAAAGCTAAGTAAAAAAAAGGCGACCACCTTCTCTTATCAAAAAGAGAACAAAAAAATCCTCAAAACCAAGTGAAAAACCTTGTTGAACAAGACTTGGTTTAAAAATAGAAAACCACAAGAGAAATAGCAGAAGGAATAAAAATTCCACATCCCAAGGCCTCCAAGCTTCATACAAAATTGCAACTGTAAATGCCGTAGTTATAAACAGGCTTTGCACAGTTTGCTTCTGTTTTGTTTCTTACCCAAGAAGAACAGCAACACAACAGGTAAGTCAGCTCTAAATGCCTCTGTCTCCCAGTGCCCCATGAAGAAAGGAATGCTCTAATCCTCACTTTACAAATGAGCAACTAATGGGCAGAGGGACTTGGATCCAGATTCTCAAATCTGGACATAAATAACTTCCTCATGGTCTTCAAGAACGAATTCAATGTGTCTCACGTTTGTATCAGAACCAGGGAGATGCTGGGCCATCTCTCTTTCGTAGTCAATGCTTCAAAAAAACAAGCGGGATCAAATTTAATAATACTAAATTTTCAGTAATCAAAAGAATACATAAATCCTTCCAAGATGCTTTTTTAAGCAAGTATTTTAAATGAATCAACATTAATAAAAGAACACAGCATTTCAAGCAACAGTTGATATTAAAATCCTTAGACACAGTTCCACAATGGGACATTAAATTACTTGTATTTATCTCCCAGTAACTGTCACAATAAGAAATCATGAGTAGCCTTTCTTCTTACTCACTGAGACAACTCACATTAAAGATACAGCTTTAAGAATGAAATCATTAAAGTGAAAATATTGCCTGTGAGAAAAAGTAGTCTTACATTTTTAAAACTAATAAACTTACAGTCTGAGCATCTAATATAGCTGCACTTAGATCATAAGTCATATTATCAAGAGAAAAAAGATAACTTTTAAAAAGAAATTAAATAGATTGACTGATAATATTCAAATTATCGAGTATAGTGTGTGAAAGTCCATCATCCCTGATTAAAGTGCCTCAGCTCTTCATTAAATGAACCCTTAATTGTCAGCAATTATATCAGGAGCAATGTTGCTGAACAAAATTTAATAGCTGAAAGAAAAAGATGCAGCTGATAATGAAAAAAAACCCCTAACATTCCCTCCAAACAATCTTCATTCTGCCATGAAGCACCATACTGTGGCTCTTAATTTCACTATTTTCATTTTCCCGCTGCCTCAGAGGTTGGATGTGTAGGTAGGAAGCCTTTCCAAATCACCTCATCACAAAACCTTAGTAATCAGATTGCTACACAGAATTTCACAAACACATCTAAATTTTACAATACTTGCAGGAGAGAAAATTGAGATTTTATGCTGAATCCTTGTTACATCAGTATTATCCTATGGTTATTAGAGGAGATATTCCTGTTATCTCGACAAAGAAAGTCAAGCTCAGAAATTAAATTAGAATAATGAATCGCCCACTGAAAGGTATGAATATAAGCTTAGATTTCTCACATTTAATTTAAGTAGTCAGATAGTTGTCTTCTTCCAGTCCACGACCAAGGTGTGGTCAATTCACTCATCTGGATTGTATGAAACCTCTAATTATCAGGTTATCCCACAGTTTGTTAAGCAATTCACCTTTTCCTGCTAACCTCTACTTCAGATTCTAAATTTTAGTTTTAGGCAATGATTTCAGCCTTACAAAGAAAATCAAACAAGTAGAAATCTGGGTGTGTGGAGAATCGCCATCAGCACCTGTTAACTCTGAAACCTAACAATGTTGCAGTGTCTGCATCATTTTTACTGTTTGATCATTTTAGCAAAACATACATGTATGGTGCTTATCTTCCACAATATCAGTCTCAACTTACATAACTCTCACTCTTAATTATCCCCTCTCTACCTACACAAACCTTCTCGTTTAACTTCGAAAATCTTTGTGGTGTGATAAGGCAATGCCATATTGATCTACCATATTGACATATATGTCAATGCAATATCCTGTACAGGAAAGCTAAAAATCCTGCATACAGAGTGAATGGAATTAGACAGCAGAATGAATAGAGCAGATTTGCTTTACTGACTGTATCATTCAGTACTTAAGTAAGTAAAACCCCACGGTTTTGTACTTATCTGAAACTGCTACGCTGTTGCTGATGCAAAGCTACCAAAATCACTGCAGAGCTCAAAATCATTCTGCCAGCAGAGCACAAAATCTTGCCTTTTTGCCTGGTCCCTGGAGATATTTGCTCCTAAAGGATCTTCTCTCACAAGACACATAAGGTAGCTGAAATCACTCTGCTCATTACCTGTACGCAGGTGAGTAAATACAAGGCAAGCTCTGTGCATCTTTCCGGATCAGGATTGATAACATTAAAACTCTGACTGTCTATAATGAAAATCAAGCTCTTAAAGTGATTCATGGTACAGAGAACTTCTGGGCAACCACCAGTTATATTTACCACCAAACAAAAAACCCAACCATACCAAGGCACAAAAATCACAGATAACACCAAAACTCAGCTTTCCCAACTGCCTTAAATTTTCTTCTTTCCTGTCTTTATTTTTGCTCCTCTTTCATGGCCTTATCTTTTCTTATTTCTCTTCTCCTCAAGTAAATTTTTTTTTCTTATTGGTGCCTATATGAATATTCTTCCACTTCAAATACTTCTTGTGAGAACAGAACCATCACTACTACAGAAAAGGTGAAGGGATATAATTGCAAAAGTATGTTCTTTATTCAAAACAGACTAATTCTACTTCTCTTCATCCCCCAAGTACAGTGCATAAAAATCCCTTGTTAATGGTACATACATTTTTTATGAATTAGACCCTTCATATCAAGAGTTCTAGTTTCTTTTATACTGTATGCATTAGCACAAAAATAATCACATTAAGGTCACAAAGACCCTCTCCGTTTTCCCTGAATTTATCCAGCATTTCATACTCTCTGTTTGCTGTTAGTGCTGGTGAATGCAATGATGATAAAGGTTACTTACCAGAAGATGGACAGTTGAATGCATTATTATTTCATGTTGGGCAGCTGATCCCTAGCTAAGAAGGGCAGGAGGCTTCTCTAAATTAAACTTTCCTTTCTTTCCATCCCTGGAAGCTTACTAAATGCCAAAGAGTGAGCACACTAAAAGAACATCTATTTTGGAGTGACTGCTACAGTTTGCTCTCTTTATAGCTAACTAGGATTTCTTTATGATTTTTAAAGCATTTATCTATGCACCAATTTTTGTTCTTAATAGGGTAGAGGGCAAGCTTTCCACCAAAAACCCAACCCTCGCATCTGAGTCCTGTACCTTCCCCAAAATAAGGTAGACTATGATGATATCTGATAATGATCTACATTACTGTTTGCCTGGGAACCTTGCACTATTTATATATTATGGGCTGGCACTATAGGCTACTGAAAGCCAGGCAGAACATGTGGACAGCCTCTGATGCACAGTAATTCAGGTTTCTGGGTAGAAAAGAGGGTAGCAGGCCTGACACATTTTGTTTTTTACAAGTTCCATTGATAAGACTTATTTACAAAGGACAGGGCACAGGGAGGTGGCTGATGACAGAAATTTAACTCACAGCTTTGACAGCTTCCAGGGACTGGAAAGAAAAAACTGTAAGGTGGGGAGGGGATGAACCTAGTGTCCCTACCAGTCCAATGAAAGCCTGTTTAGAAATTCAAATCATCCGGTTCAGTGAGTGGGGAATATCCAGTTAAGGGAGGAAGTGTTCAATTAAAGCCAATAAAAGCACCTGGCACTTAGACCTACAGCAGAGCCAGCGTTCAGCAAAATGCACCCCACAATATATGTAAACTCCTCCTGGAGCATCCTGACCAGCAAGTATGGTCAAGCAACGATGGTTTCACATTCTTGCTACCAAGTTTACTGTCTGGTTTCATCCCTGTAGTGCCTTTAACAATTTCACACTCTGCTGTGGTCTTTACACAGCCCTGCAGGGCAGCTCCATCAAGTGTCTCATTACAGGTTGTTCAGCTGTTCAGACTTTATTGAGACTCTTGAAAGAGCCGTCCCACAGAGCAGCGTACTGTAGGAGTCCAGTCAAGATCCAGGAGGAAACCTTAACAGTGGCAGCAACTCTGTATGCAGGAGGCCACGCTCCTAGATCAGACTAAATCACAAAACTGGTAAGTCTACATTATAAACCTATTTAGCTGCACATGTACCTTGAGAAATTCCTAGCTACAAAAATTCAACAGTCCTCCCCCTTCAAAAGCAGCCTGTGCCGTTTGATATCTGCTGCAGGTTCTCATGATGTGGCTCAGCAGGGTAAGCCATTATTTCAAATGAAAGTGTTGGCTGGGAGCTGCAGAAACTCATGGTATGCATGCCTCCAGATCTTGTAAATCCTGAACTGAATTAACTTCTGCCTCTTTATTATTTTCTGAAAGCAATTGCAGCGACTATTTACAAGAAGCTTTTGCCAGGAGTTCCCAAACACTTTATATTTATCTGTTTTTAAACAGCATTCAGTCTGCCGGCCAGGTCTTGCAAGCTACGTCAAGCCTGACCATTGCTAAACCAAATTTAAAACACACAGCAAGGGCTTCTGGTTCCCCAGCCACCCCACATTTCCATTTCCTCCCTCCTCTGAACACCAAAAAATTTAAAATATAAAAAAACACCTCAAGAACTAACAATCAGCATTATCATCCTGTCTGCCTCCTGAATTTGAGCCGCTATTTACCAGACAATGATAGTGAACCGCCCGGCAGCAACCACCAAGATGGTCTTTCACACATTAAAAATGCCCTAAAACAGATCTGCAGGGAAATAACCAAGTGGCTTACAAATATTTGGATACTGTTCTTGTAATATGTTGATCCTGCCTTTATGTGAGTCAGAATCCCACCGGATTTCACATCTGTTGGATTAGTTCTCTATGAAAAGTTTAAGAATACAGCACAGGTTAAAAAAAGCTTTACACCTAACGGGCAGGTAGCCCAGGACAATAATATTGCGTGGAAGACCATCTCCTGGTTTGTAACACCTTGTCATGGCAAGACCTCTTTGTAACAACATGCTGTGCAGGAAGGAAAAAGGCAAAAATAAGCCACACGACTTAGCTTTGCCAAAATCCTAAGTGGCAGGAAACTTGCTTCATAGACTGAGAGAGGGCACTGAGATACGTCCTAAAAGGATTAAATTAAATTATATGGAATATACAAACTGTTTCTAATCCATGAGAATGCTTGTGTTCATATATATATATATATATATATATGTATGCCTCTATATATAGATACATATTTTTTAAACAAATTAGTCTCCTACATCCCTTTCATTTTTATATTATCATTCTGTTTATTTTTTCAGCATTACAGTAATTGAAAAATATCTGCTGGTAAAAGATGCTATTAATTTAAGTGCATTCATAGTATGTTATGTCACTAATAGACTTAGGTAACGTTATTCTTTTATCCTGTTTACAAAGCATTATTTTATTGTCCTCTCATTTCTAAGATTTTACCTCCACTTAAAGTCAAGTAGAGTGAGGGCTTTGCAGAATTCTATTATATTATTGTCCTGTCATTATTCTAACTCCATTACACAACAACACAAAACCAGCATCAGCTTCCATTTGTCATATTATTTATTTTGAGGATTATGTCAGAGCTCAGACTATGTGTATGTGCCTACTAAACATAATTTGGAGTTGGGCAAAAAGCAATCACCGATTCCTCCTAAATATGCTTTTAAAGAAAACATTATTTTATCTGTTCCATATCTCTAAGAGCTCTGTCATCTGATTTAGACTCATGCAACCCTCTAGAAAAATCTAGTTATATTCACAAAAAATAATACAGTGTCTTCAGGTACGTGTTGACAAACAGATTAGAACTTCTCTGTCCATACTCCCAGCTGAGCTGACAGAAGCCAGTCCTGGGGTGTAGCTATGCTTTTGAGGTGCTCCATGGGCCACTCTAACATAGCAGGGTGGCTTCTACACAGAAGCTGTCTCATGTCTGGCCACAGTGGAGCACAAAGGACCTGGAGCAAAGAGAACCCTGGGCCCACCTCTCCTATGAGTCAGATCCTTTGGCAGCCAACAAAAGGTTAAGCACACCTGATGTGCTTTATGGAAGTGGATTGCCATCACGTTCCTAATATCTTCTCTCAATGCTCCCAGCTTTGAGGATATGCAAAAGATAGCCAGGGTTGGTTTGAAATAGCCCACTGTCCATTCCTTATGGCTGTCATAAAAATCAGGTGCTAATCTGGCAAAAGCAAGACTTAGGCTCTATGCCCAACCATCACAGAATTCTAGTAAGACCTTCTCCAGCTCTTTTCATCTCAAATACAAAGAGTATGTTGGACTTTCAGAGCTTAGAGAAGCCCTGGACCAAAGCAGCATGTCAATTAGAGTGGCTGCATTGGCAGGTATTGTCAGCATGCTGCTTCCTCTGGTCACAGGCTCCTTACCATCTGACAGTACCCTACCTTTAGGGCAAATACAGACCTTGGACATGGTGCAATGTCTGCACAATTGGACTCTAGAGTTGCCTTTCCTCCATGTTGAAGGAATCTGCACTCGGGTCTCTGGGTTGACTTAGTGTTGGCTTTGGGACAAAGTCACTGCATGTCTTCCTTGCATCCTCACAAAATGCTCCTACTGCCTCTCCTTAACTCTTTCCACATACTGGGTACTGAAGGACTGCTGGAGGAAATAATATTTGCTGACTAATGACTATATAGTCCCAAGTGAGCTTCTGGTTACAGTCAGAACCAACCACCACTCCCCTTGTTATTCTGGAGGGCCTGTTGATTATATAGATGATCACACACTAAGGAGATTTCCCTCAGCAAGAAATAGCTGGGTTCAAAATTCAATCTAGATTTAAAACACACTAAAACACCACCAAACAAAAAACCCCTTATATTCATACTTGCCATCTTCTGAGTTAAAATGGTATTTGAAAAGATTTCAAGGAA